AAGAAAAACTACCACAACAAGAGGACATAGTCTTAAATTAGAAGGACAAAGGTTTAAAAATAATATCAGGAAGTATTACTTTACTGAGAGGGTAGTAGATGCATGGAATAACCTTCCAGCTGAAGTGGTAGAGGTTAACACAGTAAAGGAGTTTAAGCATGCGTGGGATAGGCATAAAGCTATCCTAACTATAAGATAAGGCTAGGGACTAATGAAAGTATTTAGAAAATTGGGCAGACTAGATGGGCCGAATGGTTCTTATCTGCCGTCACATTCTATGTTTCTATGTTTCTATGTTTAAAGAGGTTCAACTCTACCATTTATGATGTTATCCAAAGACAGCCCTAGAAGATAGGTGAAAATATAGGCCTTTCTTTTAGGACGTACGTCATGGGGAAGAACACTACAGACACAATATCAGGAATATATACAAAAGTGAGAATTCAAAGTGAATTCCAAATTTAAAATAGGTGAATTGGAAAAATAGTTTGTCAGTCATGCTTACATATCAGCCTTGAATTTGAAAATAATGGAACACTTCTCCAACTACCCCTAACGACAGGTCTCCACTAGATTAGCATCACTGTTTTTATCAAAACTACCTTTTAGCTTGCAATGTTGTTTCTCAGCCCCTGTAAGGTTTATTTTGTTTAAAAGTTAGAATGAATTTTACCTCGGCTGTGCAGAGACTTGGGGGACGAAACATGTAAAACTAGTCACTTTCTAAATCCATCCATTAGTGAAGGGTAGTCTCCTCCAGCCAAATATGTCTTTTATAAAAAATTTTAAAAAGGTTTTATACCAGAGAATAGTCAATCCTCACACCTCACACATAGAAATCTGTTTATTTCTTAACTGTTGACACTAAAGACATTTAAAATGTAGCCCAAATAAAAAGAATTGTGTTCTTCTCAGTTCTCCACCATTTTCAGTTCAGTGAATAACTTGTTTAACCCAATGTTTTCAGCTTTGGTGTATGCTTTTTTAAATGCCCCCCAAACGAAATGCAGTATTTCACAATACAGCCTTAACGTGTATGTCATGGTAGACACTACATTGTGTAAAATAACATAGAAGAAAATTATTTCTGCACATTGTATTAACATAATTACTATCAAATATATCCATTTTACAAAGAATATATAAAAACATGGCTTCTCCCCATTCCTACCAAACAATTCTCAGCACAGTGGACTATAGAAAGTATATGTCAATAATTAAATGGCAGGAGAGAGCAGGGCAGCCTTCAATTGGCATTTTCTGGTTTTCTGTATGCTGTAGTGGGAGCTCTGGTGGAAGCATCATTCATGTCCCGGCAACAATGCTAGTGTGTTGGCATTATGGGCGAAGTGTGGGCTAAAAATGAAGTAATGGGGCAAGATCTTAAAGATGGTGGTGTGATGACATCGCTGTTCTTAATGAAAAGAAGGTAAGTAATGAATGAAAATGCCATTAAGCAATTCAATGTATAACTTATAAATATGACAAGGGACATATATTTAGTTGAAGGATATATTACTATTTAAAGGGAATTTGTTATGATGGGTTCACTTTAAAAGTGACAAAAGGACAGATAAGCATTTAATATGTGAATATATATGTCACACAATTTTCCGAAGGCTTTCTGTTAACACATCGACGCCTGGATAACTAAAAAGATAAGCTACCAATTAGCATGTCTAGAATGCTTGTGCTATTGGTGCATGGAGAAACCGACTTATTTAAATTACAAAGGAACGTAATACATTGTGCTTCCACAAAGAGAAAAATAAATTAATACCCTGTAACTGTTGGTGTTAACTCCTGTGTTGCTGGTGTGACTCTCTAGCGAGATAAAGGGACATACGGCAGCAATGAAGTTAAGGGGAATAATGGATGTGAATATACATTATGTCTCTTTAAGAATTATTTGTATTACTCAGATTTGTAGAGTTTAATAAATTGTTCATGTGTATAGTATCAGAAAAGCATGTTTCGTAAATAACATTTCTCATAGAAAAAAATAAATACAAATCTGCATACCTAGCAAATATTTATGCATTGTGAGCCTGCAGAATGATATCATTGGTGCTTGTAACATGTAATGATTGACACAAACATGAGTCTTGTTTAACAATAGAAAATACATTTGGGATGATTTTATGAATATAATAATAATTTTGAGTACAACCCAATACAGATAGTGATATGGTTAGGCAAACACATATTATCAGACCGTTGCTATTTAAAACAAGACTCGACTGACAAGTCTAAAAACAGCGTAAATAAAAAACATATTTGGTGTGTCAATGAGCACTTCAGACTTTATTATGCACTTGCACATCTATGAAATTTTACACATTTTTCACCACAAAAGCCCTGTAACTTGCAAACACTGGCCATCATTTTATGTGCTTTCCAAGGCTGACTGTCCATTTGGATTAAAAATGATTCCTTACTTGGAGTCCACATGGATGACATCACTTGGGACTGGAATGAGGGAAAGAAAATGAGCCATATCGGGTTAAAACACCATTCACACATTTCATAATCCTAAAAAAATAGAGATAATGAAGCAGCCACAGGTTATATGACCACACAAAGCAGCTGTCCTTCTTGAAAGAAAGTGCAGAGTTACAAGGATATAACAAGACCAATAATTTATGCAATAATATATTCACTAAATGTAAACCATCATAGTATAATTTTGCTTATTGTACTCTTGTGATCACCATCCTCCAGTAAGGAAACATGCATTTTTAAAGTGACACACTTTTCCGAAGGCTTTCTGTAACACATCGACGCCTGGATAACTAAAAAGAGAAGCTATCGTTTAGCATGTCTAGAATGCTTGTGCTATTGGTGCTTGGAGAAACCGACTTATTTAAATTACAAAGGAACGTAATACATTGTGCTTCCACAAAGAGAAAAATAAATTAATACCCTGTAACTGTTGGTGTTAACTCCATTGTTGCTGGTGTGACTCTCTAACAAGATATAGGCACATACAGCAGCAATGAAGTTAAGGGCAATAATGGATGTTAGGCAGTACTTAAAGTGGGCATGGTAATCTACCAAATGAACAATAGGTTTCATGTACCATAGAATTTTTATTTATAGTGTTAATAGTGTGGTATGTATTCCTTTCTATAGGTGATATTTTCGTAACAGGTCTGATTGCCATGAGTACTTTCTCTCTGGGAACCTGTCTGGTATTTTTATCTTCATGAAATCCTGAATACATTTTTCGAGCTCTTCTTCAATAGAGAGCTTTTCTTTCACCACTTTTTTTTTGCTTGAGTTAGATTCTCGAGAACCCGAGGTCAGAGTTCTTAAAAGGTCACTTTTTCTTCGGATTTCAGATTGCTGTAGTATCTGCACGGGTCCCTTCTTGGCTGGCCGATCTAAAGTCTGTATATTGGGTTGGCGAGTTACTGGACCACAAATGACTGTTTCTTGTGGAGAGCTGGCTTCAGATTGGCTGTCGCAGCTAGAAGTAGATAGTTCATTGCAAGATGTCCCACTTTCCCCTTCTTTGTCCCCTTTTGGGTTTTTACAGCAGCAGTCACAATGAGTCGGTGGGTACTTGGAAGGGCCTCCTGAAATAGAAAACAAAATGGAATGAACATCTTAGGAAGTCCTAATAATAGGTAGATAAAGAATTCACTTTAACATATTCTGTCATGTATGACATTTCATCTGTTGACACAATACATGTGTATCTCTGTGTACCTAATTAATGGAAATTAAATGGAAAATGTAGATGCTTGGTTCAAAACATTTAATTAAAGCAACACTGTCATTTATTTTCCTTTTTTTTTCCTTAGGCTCCTTGTACATTAAATATTATACTCCTTTGCCGTTATTTATACATATATTTTTTTCTTCCTGATGTTAATATCCAGGTGCTGCCATTTTGTTCTCCTCTGTCAATGATGTCTGCAGTTTACCCTTCTGAAGGATTCTTTTGACTGATGTACTATGGGTAAATTAGTTTAGCAATTAAAATGGAACTTGAGCCAAAAGTCACCTGTTCCATATGAAAATAAAAAAATTGTCCCTGCTTCATATTATGTCTAACTTAAACAATGACGGGAATTATTATTATTATTATTTTTTAATCCATAATAAGAGAGGTATAGAAGGGCAAAAAAGGATTATTGTAAAAACAAAACTTGGAAATTGACAGTGCTGCTTTAACCACATAAAATATATACTAATGTGTATTATTTCATAATATAGTTTGAGGCATATTTAATAACATAGAATGCCATATATAATTATGTATCATATGTCTGTAACATGTTTGTACAAGTCTGTCTGAGTCTACACACTAATGGGCTATTTTTCATTGGAAAGATGGTGCTACATGCAACTCATTAACAAGGCTTCATGCTGTGACACTGTGTCAAACATTACACCTACTGTGGGAAGTCTAATTGTAGACATATGTACTGAGACAGTGCAAGGCTTATTCAGTATAATTTTAATTCTAGCACCTATACGGGCGATGACCTGTATCATTGTCTATATATAAAAAAGCAAACATTAGAGTCTAGATACGCTTAGAAGAGTACAGGTTTACTCAGCTTACTGAATGATAATTCTTCCTACAAAGTCTATGTGAAATTATATATTTTGTAAGCATCGAAAACCCTTACTTTACTAAGAGGATCCAGCCAGATGTTTAAACTAAAATTTTGAATTTTATCAGCATTTGGTAAAAGTGAAATTGCAAAAGTGGAAAAACAGTAAAGACAAATGTATGCATTTTTATAGAAGATATCTATAACATTTAATCAAAATCTAAACTTTACTAATCTTCATTTATTTGTAAATGTCATATAACTAAGTAGCAATTAGTAAAATAAAACTACGAACAAAAGAAGCATAATACAAAAAAAATAAAATTAATAAACTACAGTAAAGCATTTGGTTTGACCTGTTGGCCAAAACTGTAACCAAGTATGTGATAATATTTAACAAGCATCACGCAAATAATAATATACATTTTAGGCAAGGTGCAAGATATAAAAAAAAAAAAAAAAACACCAAAAGCTACGTGATACTTTCTATTTTCTTCCAAATATGCTTTCAATTCACATGTAAACCCTTCCCCTATACAAATGAATGTGAGTCACTTGTGCAGGTTAATTTAGGTGGGTGTTGTGTGGATGTGCAGTATGTCTCCCATTGGTTTCAAGGGAAAACCAAGGATGGACTGAGCTACCATTCACTCTTCCTGGTTGAAACAGATATCACTAAAGGAAGAATAGAAACATGTTCACATTCTGAAGTTTTATGTTTTTTTTTTTTATGTGAATATATTACTTTCTGATTAAAAAGATAATGGATAGTAAAACTATTTTTCTTTTTAAATAGATAATAAAATCATTGTTTTTGTTATAATATAAAGTGCAACCAAAGCATGCTGGGTTTCCACAAATATACAGTTAAAAAAAAAAGAAATTCACTTTCAGTCTTGGACAATGTCAGAGTACTTATGTTTTGGTGCATATATAATTATGTCACTCATGTAACGATAGTACTGCAATTCATTCCTTTTGAGTCCAATCTTGAATAAATGTGGAACAAAAGCTCAAAGTAACAGTCATATATATACCATGCTTTTTACTTTATAGTTTCACATAAAAAGACATCCTTCTTGTGTTCAGCAGATAAGACAATCTAGATATATATGCCATACATAGTGTTTTGTGTTTCATCTGGCGCCATAATTGTGTGTATCATCATGCACAATTGGAAAAGAATTGCCCATGTCATTCAATAGAAAGCAATTACTGCATCATGTCTTCTCCACAATAAAAAGGATAGACACCCCATTTTCTAAATCTAACATGTTCAGCACGCATACAGCAATTTAGATTTTCAGTACACACTTTTATTCTACAGGTTATGAACTATTTACTGCAGAAAATAATACTGAATTATATAGAGATTTTTAAACAATCATAAGAACAAAATATACAGTGAGGGCACTTTTCAGATGCCCTTAAAAACATGTATGCATTTTATAGCTTCTATTTAAATAAATAGCAGGTTTTTTTTACAGTTTACTAATTTTGTAAAAAATAATGTTTTGCAACATTCTGCATTATATCCCTGCCTGTTCTATCCCACCTTGGTTATTCAAAAATTCAGCCTTGTTGTTGCTTATAATTCAACCCAATTTTTATTTGTCTAATGCAGGGGTTCCCAACCCAGTCCTCAAGTACCCCCATGATTTAGGGATTACCCTGTTGTTTCTAAAATCACCTTAAACACAACAGGGTAATCCCTAAATCCTAAATACTGGACTGGTAGGAGGTACTTGAGGACTGGGTTGAGAACCACTGGTCTAATGTAAATCTTGTGGCCATTACTTTATCCTAATTCTCCTTAATCTTTCCGCTGCCTTTGACACTGTTGATCATCAACAGCTTCTTCGCATTCTCTGTAATTTGGGTCTACGGGATACTGCTCTCTCCTGGTGCTCCTCTTACCTCTCCCAGCGCTCTTTCAGTGTTTCTTTCTCTGACTCTGCCTCTTCCCCCCCAACCACTCTCTGTCGGCATCCCCCAAGGTTCTGTCCTTGGTCCTCCACTGTTCTCCATCTATACTGCCTCCCTTGGTGAACTCATCAGCTCCTTTGGCTTCCGTTATCATGCGGATTACACGCAAATCTACCTGTCCTCTCCTGATCTCTCTCTGCCCATCTTGACTTGTGTCTCTGACTGCCTCTCTTAGATTTCCAAATGGATGGCTGCTGACTTCCTTAAACTCAACCTGGCCAAAACAGAACTTCTGGTCTTTCCTCCTTCAAATGTTGCTACTCCCATGTCTGTCTTCCTCCAAGTCAAAGGCGCTACCATTACTTCTACCTCACAGGTTCACTGCCTGGGTGTTCTTTTTTACTCCAACCTCTCCTTCACCCCTCATGTCCAGTCGATCGCCAAATCCTGTCACTTCCATCTCAAAAACATAGTGCGCATCCACCCCTATTTAACCCTGGATGCGGCTAAGGTACTGGTCTATGCTCTTGTTCTCCTTTCACTACTGCAATACCCTTCTCAGTGGTTTTACATGTTCCCAAATTGCTGCAATCTATAATGAATGCAGTGACGAGGCTCATTTTCCTGTTCGCTCGCACCTCCCACGCTTCCCCGCTATGTCAGTCCCTGCACATTGGCTTCGAGTTAGATATAGGGCTCAATTTAAAATTCTGGTGCTTGCTTACAGGTCACTACATAATGTTGCTCCAACCTACCTATCCTCCCTAATACACAAGTATGTCCCGTTCAGGCCCCTACACCCTGCAAAAGACCCCCACCTCCATACTCCCACCTCTAATGCTCGCCTCCAAGATTTCTCCAGGGCTGCACCTCTTCTGTGGAACTACCTTCCCTTCTCCATAAGATTTTCACCCAGTCTCCACTCATTCAAAAAATCATTGAAAACGTACTTCTTCATGAAAGCATATCAATTAAACTGTTAGCAGGTTTTTATCCCCCACCCCTCTTCCGCAACTGTCAAAAATTACCTACTAAGCACTCAGTGAATTATTTTCTAACAACCAACTTTTACCCGTTGTGACACTATACCCAACTCCCTCTAGAATGTAAGCTCATTGAGCAGGGCCCTCCACCCCTCTATTCCAGTTGTCTGGTTACAATTACATGTCTGTTAGTCCACTCATTGTACAGCTCTAAGGAATCTGATGGTGCTATATAAATAATAAAAAATAATAATAATAATGGTACTGTCAGTGTCCAATAACAAAGGTATTGCCATCAGAAAGCACAGCAAACCTTTATGGGAGTTGAAATTCTGCTAACAGCTTTCAGAAGTAGAACACTAATAACTGTACTACAAGTACTAGAAACATCTCCTCTGAGTAGCAACCAGGTTGCATATAAAACACAAACTCAGCCAAATAGACAAAAACAAATCCTTCTGCTGCACAGTTTGATTTTGCTCCATGTAATAAATCAAATGCTTGCAAATATAAGTGTCCTCTTACCCTGATAGACAAGTGAGTGGTTGGTTCACTGAAATTCATTTGAAGAAAGAAACAAAAAATATGACATCACATTGTTATGAATAATAAATATAAATAATTTTATTCATCCAAAGTAATTAAAAATACAAACAAATTGCAGCATATACAGGCTCCTAACATTCTAAATCTTTAGGCTAAGCGTTTCATGCTTAACTAGCACTTCCTCGAGACAACCTTAAGGAAGTGCTAGTTAAGCATGAAATTTGAAACTTGAAGATTTCGCAGGCTGTGAGTCTGTTTATGCTGCAATTTGTTTGTGTTTTTAATTACTCTGGATGAATAAAATAATTTAGTTGAAAAAGCAAGCAGTGATGGAATATGTCCTGTGATGCTGTATTTTTTGTTTGTTTCCCCAGATTGCATATAGCTGTGAAATGTAGTAATCATCTCCTCCTCCCTACACTTTAAGCTTTGCAGTGCTGTGTTAAATATGTCTAACAGTTCAGATTCTATAGGACAGAAAAAGAGGCTCCTGCTTCCTCAAGCTATTTTCCGGAGTGAATAAAGCTTAACTCCCAGCATGATCTCTTTGTGTTAAAG